TGTGTTGTCTCAAACACACATGGTGCGACTAATCAAGGGCTTCATTAGGTGTGCGTGAGATAGAACACATCAACTACCTGAACTGGATAAGGGTTTGCGTGACTGCATTGTTAGAAATATGGCTAAGTCAAAAGAATTGTCAAAAAAGTTGAGATCACTGCCTTTCAAAAAGATACAAAAAGATGGTAAAGGTACTGAATCTTCCTAAAAACATTGCTGGAAGCACAGTTCAAAGTTAAAGGAACAGGGGGTACACTATCTGGATGTGGCAGAAAAAGGAAGCCATCAATGATTGCAACCAGTTTTCTGAGGAGGCAGGTGATGAAAAACCCTCGAGTGACTGCAAAAGGCCCGCAGCAAGACTCGGTGGCAACAGGCACTAAGGTTTCAGTTTGCACAGTAAGGTGCAAAACACTGAAGGTTTCCATGCCAGAACTCCACTACTGACAAAAAAAAAAGCACAAGAAAAGTCGGCTCAAATATGCTCAGAATCATATAAATAAGCTACAGACATTTTGGCAATCTGTTCTGTGGAGCAATGAAACAAAACTGGAACTTTGAGCCTACGGATCAGCAGCATGGCTGGAGAAGAATGAAGCATATGCTGAAAAGAATACCCTCCCTACAGTGAAGCATGGTGGTGACTCGGTGATGCTCTGGGGCTGCTTTGCTTCCTCTGGCACTGGGAACCGGCAGCATGTGGAAGGCAAGATGGATTCATTTGAGTATCGGGAAATCCTAGGAGAAAATGTCACACTGTCTGTGAGGATGCTGGAGCTTGGGTGTCATTCAACCTTCCAACAGGGCAATGATGCCAAGCATACCTCAAAGTCCACCAACACTTGGTTGCAGAAGAGGTCCTGGAAGATTACAAAGTGGCCATCATAGTCACCTGACTCAAATCCCATAGAAAATATATGGTGGGATTTCAAGAAGGTGGTTGCATCATGCAGATCCTGAAATATTAGTGAACTGGAGGCCATTGCCCATGTGGAATGAATGGGCTAAGATTCCTCAGGAACACTGCCAGGAGCTGGTGTCTGGCTATGCATCACATTTGCAGGAAGTCATGACAGCAAAAGGTTACTCTACTAAGTAGAAAAGACACTTGTCATGAAGGGGTTGAAAAATTTTGAGACTGCAGAAGTCATTAGATAAACTATTTGTTACATTGTTATGTTGTGTTGAGCTATTTCAATTGTTCTTGTTTGATTAGTTCACTGCAGGCAGCTCAAAGTGTGTAAGTTTTGCCAGTACACCTAATTAGCAATGGGGGTGGAATAATTTTCACTGCAACTGCAACTATATACATAGAAAAGGCTCTAATATTTTATAGGGCTGTATATCCCTTTTAATGTAAATATCTCAAATCCTTTAAATGCTGCACAATAAAGGTACTTAACAAAAGGGCATGAATGCAAATAAATGCAAATAATTCACTTGTCTGCATGCTGCTTGCAGACATTCGGTGACCCATTAGCAGAGTACACTTCTCACGGTTTGCCCCGAGTCAAACTACAGAGCATCATAAGACAGGAGATGCAAAGATTCAAGGCCACAAGGGACTAATAGTGAGCCAAGATGTGTGTCTGAGAGAAGACTACTGTATGACAGAAGGGCAGGAGAGAAAAGGCTTGTGCTCTCATTCCACTGCACAATACTATCAAGAGAGGACGGAAACAAATACAAAGATATTACATACATATTACATTACAAACATACAAAACCAGTTTATACAGTACACGTACTGGGGTATTGTAACTGATAGATTAATATGCAGCTTAATTTTTATGTTTTTCATCTCAAGGTCAAAACAAAGTGGTGATACATTTCATGGAACTGGGCTGTAAGATAATCCTCCTGCCTATACTACACTCCAAATCATGAATCATGCATGGTACTCTGGTAAGAAAATAACCATTGCATTTGCACTTGCTTGTTTTTCGATTAGCAATGACATCAGGGAGCCTCATCCTTAGTCACATTCCTGACTTGACAAGATAAAATCTTATACTGTGTCAAGCAGATCAACATGTCATCCGTTTTCTGCATCTTACTAATATTTTCACTCAAAGACTTAACATCTGTCACAACAGATCAGAGACAAGCATTAAACATTTATGTGATTTTTGTTTTTGAACGCACTGAACCACAGTGTGTATGTTTCAGAAAATATACTGTATCGCCATTCTGCTGGAAAAGTCTGCATCTTATCCTTTTGCTAAAAATCATGTAATTAGTGGGAAACAGAACAATGTGGGAGGTCACACAGGAGCTACTGACAGAGTATAGCATTCATTCTGACAGTCTGCCTTTTACAAAGCCCCATACACACTGGACTGGTGCCCAACATGCCTGACATATGCAGCCAACAGAAATTAACAGTTCTGGAGGAAGTCAAAATGGAAGCTGCAATTACTGTCCCACTGAAACTACTCAAGACCACAATCCAAGCTTTCTCAGTTCACTGACTTTAATTCACTGACAGTGAAGTTATTTTTTGTTTGTGCAATCAAAACAAAATTCTAATCATCACTATCAAGTTGAATACTTTTTCAAAGCTACAAAAAGCAAAGGACACAGTCAACAAGATTTTTAAAGCTCTGTGCCAATAATCTGAAGTGTTTTTGCCAAAATATTTTAGTGGTGAATAAGTCATGTAAGGGCAGCATAGTGGACCAGTGGTTAGTGTCACCTCCAGGTTCAGGCCCCAGGTCAGCCGGGGCCTTTCTGTGTGCAGTTTGCATGTTCTCCCTGTGCCTGCATGGGTTCTCCCTGGGTACTCCGGTTTCCTCCCACAGTCCAAAGAAATGCAGCTTAAGGTTGACTGGCGACTCTAAATTGCCCATAGGAGTGAGTGTGGGTGTGTGTGGTTGTCTGTGATAAGTGTCAGCCTTGCGATAAACTGGCGACCTGTCCAGGCGAGAGGCGGGGTACCCAGGGTGTACCCCACCTCTTGCCCAATGTCAGTTGGGATTGGCTCCAGCCCCTTGTAATCCTCTTCAGGAGAAGTGATATAGACAATGGATGGATGGATGACTTGTGGAAAGAATGCACAGTGCCTGTTCAGCTCCCAGATATTATGAAATGATGAATATTTGGATTGGGATTGCATCAACCTCTCCTAATAACATTTTCTTTTCGAAAATTAAAAACATATTTCTTAACATCATTTATTGTTCAATAAAAATGATGTTGAATATAATTGCCCAACTGTAAAGCAATAAAGATGTACTTTTTTTTTTATCTCTGGCAGTTAGATGCTTTTTTGCTCAGATAAAAATAACTAGAAACATCAAAAAATGCAACGTGTCATTTTGTAAACAAAACAAATAGTGAAGCCAGTCTTCTCAATAAAAACAAATTAGTGTCATTTCTCTTACATTGCATGAGGCCCTTTTAAGAGCATGTCCTACAGCTATAGATGTGATTTAAATCACATTATTGATGCGAGATATAGAGCTTCAAGGTTTTAGCAAGTGTCCCTGAGTCAAAAATCAAATATGGTTTAAAGGCCTCCGACAATCTTTCTCTCTCATTCTCTACATTTATCACCGTTTGGCAGCGATCTCAGGTTATATCATTGTGAGGTCAACAGCTCAGCAGTGGCATTGGATGTGTTAAGTTTTTAAGTGGCTCCCGTACATATTTGCAGACATGTGGCTTCTGGTTGTTAATTAAAAACTAAAATATGAGTGGAGACAATGTCTTACTGCTATTGGCAGTAGCTGTTTTCAGCACACTCAGAAGCTAGACGCAGAACAGGGTTGGCTATATTATGACCAAGCCCTTTTATTGATTGGCTGATTTCATCACTTGTGAGGAAAGTTTTCTTAATGAAATTTTATGGAAGGAAAGGGGGAAGGCAGCTATGTAGGACAATGACTGATAACAACTAATACATTACAATACTCTAAGAAACTTTTTTCCTGCCATCACAGGAAGATGTAAATTTTATGAAAAGCAAGGGAAGCATTTCAGGACAGTTCTACCATTCTGAATATAATGGGTACATCCAAAGTCTCTTATAAGCACCATCATTCTGCTCATTCACATCTTTTCTGTGTGTCTTAGTTCCACCTAGAGCTGGGTATCATTCCAAAATTTTCAACATCGGTACCGATACCTTGACTTTGATACTGGCTCCTAAATGATATTTTTTTCAAAACCAATTTTACAAAATGAATTTAACAAAAAAACAAAACACTACACACACATATATTACACATTATGGCACAGACTGTACTCTTATTTTTCAATTCCTTTCATTTTTGTGTACTCAAAGCAGTTTTATAACAAACCAAAGTAAACATATTTACCACAACCTTAAAGGCTTAGGAAAAAAAAATGTAAAAAGGCATTCCTCGATACTGGAGAAAGCACTGAATTTCGATACCCAGCACTAGTCCCTCCCACATAACGCGTTAATAAAGACATAAGATGTCCTTTCCTCAGATACTTCATCTGAAGCATCCAATTTCTAACGAATTTCTGATAAAGGGGTGTGCAAGTTCACAAAAACATCCGCGAAGAATGGTCTCATGTATCCTCTACCATTTTTATCTCCAACACCGTCCTCGGTCCTTAGAATCGATATGAGAGACTTCCTATGTACTTGGTCGACCGGAAAGACATGCAGGTCAACTGAGGACATAGGAACAATTTTATAGGTACATGAGATGTACCCTATATGTATTCTTTCTATATTTATACATTTGAATAGCCATATCTAGCCACATATGTCTACAAATGGAAACATTGTCAGCAAATCGTTTAAAAATAGGCTAGCTCTTACTCCTGAAATCTGTTTCAATTTAAATTAATGGCATAACATTAAGTTATTCACACATTGATTAAATATCCAAATATGATATATGGCTCAACGTAATGCTGACGTCTTGCATTTTCCCACCTTTTAGATGTCTCTTTGTTCAAAACTGTCAAAACCATGTCTGTACCATTCTTTGAATATCAACCCCTCCTTTTCCATATCTCCACAGGTAAGCAGTAGGATGGTGTCTGGGGAGGCAGGAGGGCACAGCTACTTGGTGGCATGCTGGCAGCCCATCCTGATCCTGATGCTGGGTACCGTCCTGTCTGGCTCCACCACTGGTTGCCCCTCCCGCTGTGACTGCAACGCACAGGAGCGCTCAGTCGTGTGCCATCGACGAAGATTGGCAGCTCTTCCTGAGGGCATCCCCACTGAAACAAGGCTGCTGGACCTCAGCAAGAACCGTCTCAAAACTCTAGGACCTGAGGAATTCATTAATTACCCTCAGCTGGAGGAGCTGCAACTTAATGAAAACACAATTTCAACCATCGAGCCTGGGGCTTTTAGCAATCTTATGAACCTTCGAATTCTAGGTTTACGAAACAACCAGCTGAAGCTCATTCAACTGGGGGTGTTCACAGGCCTGACCAACCTCACCCAGCTGGATATTAGTGAGAACAAAATTGTCATTCTGCTAGACTATATGTTCCAGGAGCTGTACAACCTGAGGGCTCTAGAGGTTGGTGACAATGACCTAGTATTCATCTCACCCAGATCATTTCATGGCCTCAGCAACCTCGAAAGCCTCACCATTGAGGGATACAATCTGGTGTCAGTGCCCACTGATGCCCTTAGCCATCTGCATAACCTGCTGTCACTTCGATTACGCTATTTCAACGTCACTGTCATAAAGGATTACTCCTTCAAGAGGCTCTATCGGCTCAGAGTGCTGGAGATTTCTCATATGCCTGCTTTGGATACCATGATGGCAAAATGTTTGTTTGGCCTCAACCTCACATCATTATCCATCACACATTGTAATCTTACCGTCATCCCCTATGAAGCCGTCAGTCACCTAAGGTACCTTCGGTTTCTGAATTTGTCTTTCAATCCCATTCATACTGTTGAAGGGAACCAGCTGTTCAACCTGCAGAAGCTACAGGCATTTCATTTGGCTGGTGGGAGATTAGAAGCCATTGAGCCCTACTCTTTCAGAGGACTCAACCACCTCCGTGTACTCAATGTATCCAGCAATAGCTTGAGTACCCTGGAGGAGTCTGTCTTCCATTCTGTGGGAAACCTGGAGACCCTGGCTTTGTATGACAACCCGTTGGCCTGTGACTGTCGCTTGCTCTGGGTCTTTCGCCGGAGGTGGAGGCTCAACTTTAACAGACAACAGCCCATGTGTGCTTCACCTGAAGCTGTGCAAGGAAAGGAGTTCAAGGATTTCCCAGACATCCTCCCTTCAGACTATTTTATTTGCCAGAAATCAAAGATCCTGGATTATAAAGTTCAAGAAAGCCATGTAGATGAAGGAACTACGGTTCATTTCAATTGCCAAGCAGAGGGCGATCCAGTCCCTGTGATAATGTGGCTATCCCCTAAAAAGGAATACATCACCACCAAAACTGTGGGATCAAGACTTTCTGTGAATAATGAGGGCACTTTGGAGGTGCGGTATGCCCAAATCCAGGACAACGGCACCTACTTGTGCATTGCAAGCAATGCAGCAGGCAATGACACCAAAGCTGCTCACCTTTTTGTGCATAGCTACTCCCCTAATTGGCCTCACCAGCCAAACAAGACATTTGCTTTCATTTCTAACCAGCCCAGTGATGAAGGTGCTAATGTGACCCGGGCCACAGTTCCATTTCCATTTGATGTAAAGACACTTATCATTGCAACCACTATGGGATTTATCTCTTTCCTTGGAGTTGTTCTCTTCTGTCTTGTTATATTATTCCTCTGGAGTAGAGGGAAGGACAACACTAAGTCAAGTATAGAGGTTGAATATGTGCCACGTAGTGGGGAAACAGAGGAGGCCAGTCCAACTGAGGCACCTATACAGTTCAACATGAAAATCATGTGAAGCTCAAAAGGAGGTCATGTAAGCTTACACGCTACATTTGGGATGCATACTACCCTCGCTTCAAATATGTACTCAGTTTATGAGAGATAGAAAATGCACAGAAGCAAAGGCATCTTGACACTATACCCAAGACTTTTTTTTCTACTTCAGGGACTGAATCTTTAAGAGAAAATGTTGAATTTTAAATATTAAAATGTCTGTAAATTTGTATTGGCAGTGTTCAATCGGTATGTTAACATGCACTCAGCAGTCCAATTACTGCATCCAACCAAATTAAGGCAATAGTCCGAATAAAGCACATGGATTACATCAGATGGACTGCCAGTAAACGGAGTTTGCACGACTGGCGGGTTACTGACTGGAAGGAGGTGGAGCCTGAAGGTATAATATTTATATCACAAGATAAAAGAACAAACTTGTTGTTGGCATCTGGTTGCTTGTTTGATATCTTTTTCCTTCATATGAAATGCACAAAAACCCATTACTAAAACTCAAGATCTATAAGTTGTAATATTTTGTTGAAAGCTGTTTCTCCACTTTCTTTTGTGCCAACACAAGCAACTAACAAGTATGACATGCAGTAAGTATTAGGAACTCTATCTAAACAAAGAATACAGTCACATTTAAATGTACTTTCAAGAAAAAAAAAGGTTTACATTTCGAGAAGGAAAATATAAAACTACAAAATTAATAAGTTCATACGAGGAGAAATAAGTTAATGTTTTCAAAGTTGTAATGTTCTCTGAAATAGAAATTTTAGTATTAAAATCAGTTGATAGATTCGGGAAAGAAAGAAGACTAACTATATCTCTGTTGCATGTCAATGAGCAATGACCTACAACTATTTTCCATACATTTTTGATGTTTTGATCTTTTCTCTATCCACTGTGGTTCTGCTGTCCAGACAAAGCCATTCCCAGAAATTTCAAATACTAGCCCCCATCTTCTGACACAGACAGACAGACATGCTATTTGATCAAATGTGTTTAACTTTTACTGAGTGTTTCCTTAATCTGGTAACCACTATAAGTGTGCATGTTAACACACCGAAAAAGAAAAAAATAAGAGTCCTACAGTATGTGCTCCTTTCTGCCAACAAAGTTTGTCATTAAATGTACTGACATGTTCAGCTATACATATTTTCTCTGTATTTTATTCTTTCCTTGTACATTATGCTATGACACAACAGTAATGCTTTTAATGGCTGTGGGTTTTGAATATATAACAATCTAAGAGCCGATAAAATATTCAGTAAACATGTTTTTGATGTAACCAAACCAAAAGACAGTATTGCTGCTTTTGGAGTGTATAAAAATACCCTTGAAAATCATCTGATTAACAATTTATCATCGAGTGTAACGAAGTTAATTTGTTTACCCATTTGTCAGCTCAATAGTCCTGAGGTTATATTGTCACCAGTGCATCTCAAATATTGTGACATTATTAATTTGTTGCCTTAAGTAACCAATTTTTCAGCTTTCAGCTGAGCAATACCCAATATTTATGAGTAAAATGGACTTTTATGCTTCAATGATTTTATGTTGTCTAATTAATTTTACAGTCAAGGTCTGCTCTGAAGATAATGTGTTCATTAACTCTTAAAATACTTGTTTAAAAAGGGATGGTCAAATGAAAAATTCTATTAAAATAAATAACATTTTATACTACAGGGTGCTTATTTTATGCTATATACTATAAAATGAATGTGAAGACACATTTTTTATCTCTAAGAGTTATGATTTCCTGTTCTGCAAGTAATGGTCAAAAATGAGGCAGACAGTGAATCATACTTTTAGAATACCCCTTAAATACTCATCTCACTGCAGTCTTTTGATGTTGGTACTTGCCAGTGTGGTCCAAAAGTCATAAAGAGCATTCAGACCTGGTGGCAATGTTATAGCATACGCATGTGCTAATTCCAGAGATTTATGTATTTATTAGGGCTGTCAAGCAATTAAAAAAATGTATCTAATTAATTACACACTCTGTGATTAATTATTCACTGTGGAAGTATTTAAACGTATTTCAATTCAAATGAATTTTGGCAGATGGGTAAATCAATTAATAATTGACACTTAAAATGTCAACATCTCTTTTATTTCAGAATCATAACGTTTTTCCAATGTCCATATGAATTTGTGGTCATATCAATTTTAAAAATGGCTTAATATGCTGCGGAAATAAATTCAAAAATGCCTCAGCAAAAAGAATGGCAGAACTGAGTTCAACAGTTTCTAGGTCTTGTCTTGGCATTGTAATGATAGCCAATGTGTCCTACAGTAATTTAGATGCCAAGAAAATTAGGCAACACAGACCAACATTAATAAATGTTTAAGATTATCCATAACATTTTACAGTTTCCACTCACTGTCAATGATGTGCGCAATAACACCGAGGTTACTGATTGCTAACTGAGGCCCAGTGATCCCCAGTCAGCACAATATATTCAGCTCTCGCCACTACATCTTTCTTTGTTCTCTTTTGTGTCTTAAAACTGCTGGATTTTGGACGCAACTGTACTTCTCAATGGCAGCTTGCAAATTGTATCAGAAGAAGCTATCTGTAAAACTCCTGCTAACCTCCTGTCCTCTACCACCAAAACTGGTCTACAGTCCATTGCAATCCATTTTGCAAGGGAGTGAGATAGTTGTTCACAGGTGGACTTGCTCAGCTAGCATCAGAACGCCTGGTCAAATGAGACTTGATGAGGCTGGCTGCTAGCATCAAGGGCTGTGCTAGTTCGGACCTCCGGGTTCACTGCTAAATGCTTTGTGTTGAGGTGATATTTCAGGCTTTAAGTACTCCAATGGTATGAAAATTCTTTACTGCAGAAATTACAGAGAGCGATGCTCTTAGCGATTCCATCTGGATGAATGTTCCATTCATGGGGCCAAGCAGGGTCTTCTCATCTGCCTCCATCATGGTACAAAGCTACTGTAGCCCGAATGGTTTCAACAGTGCACCGGGTCAAAGAGCACCATGGAAGGCAGTTATTCAGTGTAAATTTATATAAAAAGTATTTTTTTCTGAGATGACTTAATTGAAATCAACATGTTGTTTTGACAGCCCTAGTATTTATACATGTACAATTCTAACAATTATACACAGTATGTTGCTAAAAGTCACAAGGAGCACTGGAGAACAAAGTTTTGTGTAAACTGGGACCGCAACACAGCAAGTGTGTTAGCTGTGGTTATTCTTAACTCATGTTAGCAGTTATGAGTGCTGCTAAATGGTTGGTTGTGGTGACAACAGACGCTCAAACGGAAACTTATTTAACTGTCAGCTCGGTGACTCAGTGGTGATGCAACAACAAACCAAAAGCCTAAAGGCATAAAGATGCCTGGCCACGTTTTAAAACAGTAACTGTCAGTTGGATCAAAATCACAAGACATCAAAGAATAGCTTGTATGGGTTTGTAAAAAATAAAGTAAAATGCTGGTTTCAATAGCATAAAATTAACTCAGCTTAGTGCGATATTGCATGACAAACATATTGAGCTAACAAGTGATGTCAGGGTAAGCACAGGTCTTCACAGTCACTCCCATTTGAGTGTTAAACATGCAACAGCCTGGATGTGTCCTGTTTACTCACTTTAAAAAAAAACTGATAACACTGTTAAAGGAGGAATGGCTGCTGTGAAACTGACTCCAAGAACAGAATCTGTAAGAATTCAGGTACAGCTTTGTACCGATTGCCAAAAGGCTACTGTAAAGCATGCATGATGATGAACATACTGTAGAGTGACACTTCCTGAAGGGCTGTGTAACACTAACAAACCGGGGTCACACATTCTTGAATCAAAAATATAATCTCATGAAATATTCTTTGTCTTTGGAATTTTGATCAAGTTAAAGCCTTTAACACAACCCCATCTCATGCTGTTGCCCCTAGTTGCAGTGTTTTATGGATGACATCTTAAGCCTGCCACTTCATCAATTCTGGAGCACACTGAATATATTTACAGGTCACTCTGCATTTATTAACACCTTTAAAAACACAGAGATAAGGTTAAAATAACAGGCATGCATTCTTTAAAAGTTCATACTTCATAAAAATTCTCAATCATCGGTCAGCAGTTTCATTCGTACAGTATATGATATGCTGGTTTCGAAGTTTTTCAAAATCGTATGGAGGTGAAAAAGATCCCATAGCTCTTTTGTTGTATAGCCAAGTATACAACAAAAGAGCTAAGTAAGGACCCACCAGGACATGTTGCATCTGAGTTATATGCTTACATGGACAAAGCAATAAAGGCAGCAAAACACTCGTAAATACAATAAAGCATCA